GCACCTTTAAGTAGTCAGGCAGTGTGTCAGGCACAGGGAGTATGGCGTTGGTTCCTATTCTCATAGATTTTTTTCTGGTATTTCACACTCCATTGGGAAGGAGAGATATGAATTGTGATACATGCATAGAAATGAATCTAGAGAAGAAAACTAATTCTGCTTCACTGTGACAGGGAAAGCTCCACAGAGGAAGCAAAATTTGAGTGTTGTCTTGAAACATGGGTGGTGTGTCCTAGCCTAATAGGGATCCTGCCTTATATTTCAGGCAAAAAAGCATGAAGACTAAAAATGTATCTTATTTGTTAGAGGAACTATCTGTTAGGATGCCCTTGACTGATGATTATAGAAAATCCAATTCAATATGGCTTAAAAAGTAAGGACATTAGCTCAAATGAGAAACCCAGAGGAAGGGTGGCAGCAGAATTGGTTAATTAAAGAGCTCAGCAGGTTATCAGAAAGACAGGTCTTTTTCAAAATTTCTGCTCTGCTGTCCTTGGTGTATTGGCTTTACCCTCAGGCTGATTCTCTTCCTGGCCACAGCATTTCCAGGCATCACATCCATGGGCAACAGTGCCCAAAGGAAAAAGAAACTTAAGAAAGGAAATTAATGACCTCTTCCTGAGTATAGAAATCTTTCTTGAGACCTCCCAAGTAGACTCCCCTTTGCCTCAGTGGCCAGAATTGTACTGTCGCTGACTATACCAACAGTGGCTGGACCTTGGGCTGGAGCTTCTGTCTTTTCTTCTGCCATAGCACATTGGCCATGGCATTGGAGGGGAGGAGAGGTGGAGAAGTGCAGACTGACGTAATTCGGCTCCAGGAACCGAGAGTTTCTGTCATTACCTCATAGGGAAACTACTGGGATGAAGAGAGCTTTGTAAGGAAAGCAGAAGGCAAACATTGCTTTGTAGGGCATGTCAGAGACTTATACCTTAACTTCTATGCTGTGGGGTGGTGTCCTTTCTAGGAAAATGTCAAATTACATGGTTTTGAGTAAAAAGCATCATTTTCAGTAAGATTCTTCGTCTATCTTGATCCCATCAATTATAATAAATCAGATAGAGGTATTTAAAATACCAGGAATGGTGTCTTATATACTATCTTGTATCACATACACACATCCCTCTGCTTTATTTTTTTTTTTAAGATTTTTAAAATTTATTTGACAGAGATCACAACTAGGCAGAGAGGCATGCAGAGAGAGAGAGAGAGAGTGGAGGAAACAGGCTCCCTGCAGAACAGAGAGCCCAACGTGGGGCTCGATCCCAGGACCCCGAGATCATGATCTGAGCTGAAGGCAGAGGCTTTAACCCGCTGAACCACCCAGGCGCCCCTCTCTGCTTTATTTTTTGTCCCCAGTTAAAATTTGGAAGTTTAATTAGGAAATAAAAGACATTTACATTGAAAATAACTTAAAAGAGGGACGCCTGGGTGGCTCAGTTGGTTAAGCAGCTGCCTTCGGCTCAGGTCATGATCCCAGCGTCCTGGGATCGAGTCCCACATCGGGCTCCTTGCTCTGCAGGGAGCCTGCTTCTCCCTCTGCCTCTGCCTGCCATTCTGTCTGCCTGTGCTCGCTCTCTCTCTCTCTCTCATAAATAAATAAAATCTTAAAAAAAAAAAAAAAAAAAAAAAAAAAAAAAAAAAAAAAAAAAAAAAAGAAAATAACTTAAAAGAGCATAGAGTTGATTCTATCAAGTAGTTTTTCTTTCAAGGACTATTTCTGATTATTGAACAATTAATTGTTCGGTTATATACCTCTTTCTCTAAAAAAGGTAAAACAAGAAACAGAAGCAGAAACACACTTTTTTTTTTTTAACAACTGTGCTCTTTTCCATAGTAGTCTGTTGTTAAATTAGAAAATAGCCCCACCTTGTGGCCAAAAATCAGCTAATTGGGTATAGAAACAAAAAATTAAACAAACTTAAAAAAATCTCCAGAAAGGAGGAGGCAGGAAAACAAGAAAAGATTGACCCTTCGGAATGATATTATTTTTACATTTCCTAAGTTAGAAACTGCTGGTTCATAAAACTTAAAATACCCCTTTGTTGATGGTGCTGCAGTTAATTCTGATTATTAACTTCAATTCTAAAAGCAGATTTATATTTTGATCTATGCTGTAGAAAATTTATTTTTTTAAATTCTACTATTTTCTGTATTTTCACTATATTCACTGTTAGCTTGTACAATATATACAATATAAACAATCATAGCAAATATCTTTACCTCTTTTTTCCTCAAAAATATTAGCTATAGTTAGATAGCTAATGGGGGTAACATTTTTGTAACGTTAATGGGTATTTAGAAAGACAAAATAGGAAATTAGGTAGTCAAATATGTTTTCTAAAAATTAAATATTTTCAAAATCAACCACCTTTAATATTATCACCAATCTTTGTATGCTATTTTAAAATAGAGCATGGTCATGAGTTATTATTTCAGGTAGCCACAAATGATGGGTGTAGTCCCTGAATGCTGAGGAAATCCTAAAGACTGCCATTTTTCTTTTTTAAAGTAAAAAAGAACATCCTTACCAGGAAAATATAGATCTTAGTTTAACACCTGAAGCAAATCACTGATCAGCCAATTTATATTAATCTCTAGGGAGGTCCAGAATGTAAAAATAAAACAAAAACATAGCTTTGTAAACACAAAAGTAAATGAGGTAAGTCTAACTAAAATTGAGACAAACTGAGATAAAAATGAATTAATGAACTAATATTGATCTAATTTCTTAAATAACAATAATAGTATTTGCTCTAACATTCATTGAGTGTTTGCTATCAACCAGGCATTATGCTAAGCACTCCACATATATTATCTCATATAATGCTGTTGTTATAATTCACATTTCACAGATGAAGACACTGAGGCTTATGGAATTTAAGTATTGTGACCAACATCGAGTCATAGATCAGATTTCAAACTGAGCTGGCTCACTAATTCTTAACCTCCTCACTAATTCTTAACCAGGACTGATATTCTCAGGCTCGCAATCTTCAACCTTCTGGATTTTAAGTTGTATCTAGTTTAGTCATGGGTATTCAGCTCAATCTGTAAAAGCTGGAATCTTCCACATGATGCAATACCCAAGTTGCTTAACAAAGACACTACTGTTAAGAGAGCCCACTGGGGTCGATTAAAGAATCAAAAGCCAAGGGGAAAGAAGAGTGTGGCATTTGGACTAAAGAGAGAAAGGCCAGGGATTCAGTTCTGGAAGACTCTTTGGATTATTCTAAAAGCAAGGATTTGGACTTTCTGATTCTGCGAAGCGTAATATTATATGAAAATTGTACTCTTTAGGATCTGGAATCCAGCTGCATTCTGGTTTGGTTTGGCTAAAGCTGTATGGCTCCAGGTCTGGTTGGAGATGGAATAGAGGAGTCCATTTTAGTGTGGACCAATTCTGGGAAATTCATCCTCATCTTAATTCATCCATAAATCACATCACAGTCTTTTTTTTTTTTTTTTTTAATTCCCATGGTCTTTTTTCTTTTTCTTCTTCTCCTCCCCTTCTCTTCCTCCTGTTCCTTGTCCTCTTCCTCCTTCTTCTTTTCTCTGTAATTCCCTAGTCAAAGCTCTTCTGGAGTGGAGCCATGCACAGAACAGACACAAAATTAATACTTGTTGAATGACTGGAGGAAGTGACACAAAGGAGTCCTAAATTATGAAGAAGTGCCAGCTAGATAAAGGAGAAGGAGGATATTCCAAGTAGAGAGAATGTGAAAACTGGGCAATGTGAGTTATTTAGGGAGCTCTGAGTGGCTAAACATGGCTGGAGTAAAGGCTGTGTGATAGAAAGGTCAGGCAGCTTAGTGACAGCTAAGAGCCAGGACTCTGGAGCCTGCTAGTTTCAAATCCCGCTTCCACCTCTCACCAACTGTGTGTCTTTGGGCGAATTATCTAACTTCTTGGTGACTATCTTATGGGGTATTAGGAAGACTGAATTGGGGGTCCAAAATGTGATTTAAATGTTAAGATTCTGGGACTAAACTGAAGACAGGAAGACTAATGAGGAGGCAGTTGTAGTAATCCAAATGAAAAGAAATAAGGACTTAAACGAAACCAATTCCAGGTGCCATGGAAAGAAGAGAGAGCACCCAGGGAGAGGTAGCAGGTCAAATCATAGGACTCACACCTGCCAAAGTTAAGAGAGAGGACCGAGTCTCAGTTGTCAGGCAGGGGCAGCTGGGTGGGTGAAGGTATCAGTAATTGAGAATGGGAATACCAGGAAGGGGATGGATTTGGGGGAAGATGAGTTTAGTTCTGTACATGGTATTTTTGATTTTGGATGTATTGACTTGGAGAGAACAGCCAAGTACCCATGCCCTAGTAGGCAATGCAACTCTGAGAAGAACCCCAGCTGATGTATTAAGTGAAGATGTTTTTACTTCTGGGCTTAAGAACAACAAATTTTTGTTCCTTGTTTAAGATGCTGCCTATACCTTGATTATAGATATTAATATTAAAAAGATTAAACTGTATCTAGAAAATGATTGGGAGATTCTTTGGGCAATTTGAGAATATTGTCATTTACTGGCAAATAGTAGTGACTGAAACAAAGGCTCTGCTGAGGGCAACTGGGTGGCTCAGTCAGTTAAGTGTCTGTCTTTGGCTCAGGTCATGATCCCAGAGTCCTGGGATCGAGCCGCACATTGCTCCTTGTTCAGAGTGGAGCCTGCTTCTCCTGCTCCCTTTGCCTGCCACTCCTCCTGCTTGTGTTCTCTCTCTCTCTCTCAAGTAAATGGAAAAAAAAAAAAAAAAGAAGGCACTGCTGAAATTAGGAGCACACAAATCACTGATTAGGTGATATTTTGAGGATTTTGTTAATTGACCTTCTTTGCAATGACCTGCCTTTGACTGGACCCAAATATACAGTCATTATTTGTACATTTGTGCATAAATATTAACGTGTGTGTGTATACAAGGTGTCTATAGTTTTACACTTTTTTTCATTCAAAAATTTTGTTATGCCTCTGCAATTTTTCATCTTTCCCCCATAGGTATCTCTGATGAATACATAACACCTATGTTTAGTTTTTATAAAAGCGTTGCAGAATTGAAAATGACTCAAGAAGAGTATGCTCTGCTTACGGCAATTGTTATCCTCTCTCCAGGTAATTTTGTTGCTACATTTTTATTTATTTATTTATTTATTTAAAAAAAGATTTTATTTGTTTATTTAATGACAGAAATCACAGGTAGACAGAGAGGCAGACAGAGAGAGAGGGGTGCAAGTGCACTGCTGAGCAGAGAGCCCTGTGTGGGGCTCGATCCCAGGACCCTGGGATCATGACCTGAGCTGAAGGCAGAGGCTTTAACCCACTGAGCCACCCAGGTGCCCACTACATTTTTATTTTTATGCCATTTGTTTGTTCTACTCCCTCTCCAATGTAATAGTAATAATGTTTCTTTAAAGAAAATCTGGAAGACACAGCAGTGCAAAGAAAAAGTAAAATGGCCTGTAATCCCACCACTCAAATGAAATCATTGTTAATATTTCAGTGTAGTTCTTCTCAACCTTTTTTCCAAACATAGTACTCATTCATTGAATAATTGCGTTTTGAACACATACCATGCATTAAACATGGTTCCAGACACTGGGGGATACAGCAGTAAAGAAACAGGCAGGAGACAGCTGCATGGAGCTTGCATTCCAATAGGGTGAGAAAGATAACGAATGAGGAGACAAAAATAATTTTCAGGAGGTGGTAATGTTAAATATATATATAATATATGTTATAAATTTTATAATTTAATTTATATATCAAATTATAATTATATATGTATTCGTATAATTTTTATTATATATAATATATAAAATATGTAAGTATATATTTTATATAATACATAATTATATATAATTTAATTTATATATTAAGTTACAATTATATAATAATATTAAATTTATAAATAATATTTATATATAAAATATATAAAGCTATATGTTTAATATATCTTTATTATATATTTATATTATACATTATATATTTATTAATATATTTATATTATATATTTATATATATGTAAAGATGAGGATATAAAGAAAGAAAGTGGCAGCAGGATGTTGCTATAATTAGTAGTCAGGAAAGGCTTTTCTAAGAGTTTGATATTTGAACAGGAACCTAAATGGAATTACATACTTTTTAACACAATAGAGCACATATTGTCTTTTTTTAAAGTTTATTTTCCCATGTCATTAAAAATTATATTAGCAATGGGACGCCTGGGTGGCTCAGTTGGTTAAGCATCTGGCTCTTGATTGTAGCTCAGGTCATGATCTCAGGGTTGTGAGATGGAGCTCCTGTTAGGCTCTGTGCTAGGCATGGAGCCTGCTTAGATTCTTTCTCTGCCTCTCCCCCTACCTCCTGTGTGCACATTGCATGTGTTCTCTTTCTCTCTCTCTCTCAAAAAAAAAAAAAAAATATATATATATATATATATATCAGTAAAATTTGTTGTAATATATGTATCCATCATATTGATGTGCAATCATTTACTGGTTACCATTGTTGGGTCCCCCAATAATGGGTCCATGGTCAAAGGAGCGAGACTGATACAAAGTGAAGGTCAAGCAAAGCTTTATTTTGCGCCAAGCATCAAGAATCAAACCAACCATCAAACAGACCTTACAGAGAGGGTGACCCCTCCCTGCCTCACAGACTAACTTTTATAGAGCAAAGGCCATGTGGTTGGGCCTGGCCACACACAGGTGGCGAATGAGATTGTAACACACAGAAAAAGCTGCACAGTCATGCTAGGTCACACATAAGTGACCAATTGAATTACAGTTTACCCTATAGTAGACATTTGAACTAGCCTATCACCTTGGTGAGAATTGGCACCCCAAAGGCGGGGCCCCACTCCTTCGTAGTTAGGGAGACCTTATGCGGGCTCTACTGATTGGATGTCTCCACCTGACCTGACTCATCCCTGCATTCGGGCTGTTATCTCCACCTGACCTGACCTGACCCACCCTTGTATTTGGGCTTTGTTACCTGGGACTGGTTTCCTGGACTTGCTTTTAAGTAAGTGGTGGGGGGCGGGGTCAGGTTAAGTTTTACTGCATAAACAACAAAATGGCTGTTCAGCGGGGGTGGGGCCGCTCTGGCTAAATAGGCCCTTACATTTACATTGCAAGCAAGTTACTGTTGCTACAGTTACGCCAAATTAATACTTCCCCACTCTTTAATTTTGTCTTTTTATCTTAAACCTCAAAACAGACAGACAATACATAAAGGACAGAGAAGCGGTAGAGAAGCTCCAGGAACCACTGCTTGATGTGCTCCAGAAGTTGTGTAAGATTTATCAGCCTGAAAATCCTCAACATTTTGCCTGTCTGCTGGGCCGTTTGACTGAGCTGCGGACATTTAATCATCACCACGCAGAGATGCTGATGTCCTGGAGAGTAAATGACCACAAGTTTACCCCACTTCTCTGCGAAATCTGGGATGTGCAGTGACGAACACTGCAGGGGCAACAGCATCTAGTTCTTGATTTTCCTCATAATATAAATCTGATGTACAACTTTCTTTTATTTCATTTGTACCTGGTCTCACACAAGAATTTTGACAAATATTTATGCAGTAATTACATAACTTCCACAGTTGTAAATATAGAGCTAGATAGGATGACTTTCTTTACATTGTATTTTATAAGGCTTCAGGGAATCTTTCATTCTAATTGGCATGCCCTGTTTGCCTAATTAAATTGATCATTCTTTACCTCTGTCTGTTGAAATAGGGAAAATTTCATTTTGCTCTTATCTTACCTTATTTGCGTACATTTTATCAAAGAGCTGGTTTCAATTTTGGCAATAAATTGAACATAATGGCAACAGGCTTCTCTTTTGGAACAAAATTTGAAAAATATACAAACTCATTTCTTTAAATGGTGAATCACATCCTAATGGGCCTGATGTGTATCTGGGAGGTGGGGTGGGGGGTGGGTGAAGGGTAATTTACAAAAAGATAAACTCTCACAACACAAAGGGTGTTTTTCTTATCCCTGGAGAAGTCCTGGTGAATATTCATTTATTTGTAATAGCCCTTGGATTGGTTCATTTTCTTTGAAGTTCAAGGAGATAATATACTAATGATTCTCACATAAAGCATTTCCTCGAGCAAACCCTTTCACAGGCAGTCTTGAAGCAGCATTTTCAAATGCAGACGACTCCCTTGATGGGACATTCCCTTTTCTCTCTTAAAAGTATTCGCTATTGGCTTCAGTGTTTATAATTAATCTCTCTCTCTCTCTCTCTCTCTTTTTTTTTTTTTTGGTTTGTTTTGTTTTTGGAAAACAAACCTACAGCTGGGTGCACAGCTGTTGTATACTTCCCCCAAAGCAGGAATTAGTTCATTTCCTTCATTCATTGTTATACTGTTGCATTCTTCTTCCCATTAGTCTTTGGTGAATACAATAAAATCCCCTCTGTATGTAATGGGCTTATATGTTCCCTTCTCCTGGAATCAGACAAAATGGAGCTAGCTAAGCATGCAAAAAGGTTTTTTGTATTAAAATATTAGAGCAACCCCAAAGTCCTAAATATAGTAAAAGAGGGAATAAGGTGGAGCTAACCTTAATTGTATTCCATTTGATAGGAGAGGAAGACTTGAGTCCTCACTAATTACAAGATGCCTAAAGGGACACGGTAACTGCCTGGAGGGGTTTACAAAGAAGTGCAGAGGCAAGTTCTATGGGGTCACTGGGCAAGTCTCTTGGAGGAGGTGACATTTCCCTTGGGCTTGGAAGGGTATCCAAGACTTGGATCAAGGTGAGAGGAAAGGGGATTCAAGGTGAAAGGGGTAGCAGGAGCAAAAGCAGAGGCTGGTGAGTTGTGCAGCTGTTGAAAAAGAACAAGTAATCTGGAGAGAGACCACCCTTAGCACAATCCTTCCTGACCCTTAGTTTCACCAGCGTGAGATGAAGATACCAGCAACTACCATCTCTAGGGATTGAGCTAATGAATGAAAAGTGGGAAGTTGCAGGCCCACCAAGGGAGAGGGGTGGTAAAGAAAGGACACTTCAGACGGAGAAATAATTTCTGAATGCCTGTAGGAGGAGATCTAGTTTGAGGACCTGAATGTGGGTCAGTGTTGCCCAGATTATAAGGCATCTGTAGGGAAAGTGATGGGAATTGAGTTGGAACTGAGGGGGCACTGTAGACACAGCTAGGAGTTTATAGTGTAGGTGTGGATTTACTCACATAGTGAAGACCTTATAATAGTAAATAATATGCTTCTCATATGGAAAACTAATTGTGATAAAATTACAAACATATATATATATATATATATATATATATATATATATATATATATATAT